ATCATCTTTAACAGAAATGCAATGAGCACCTTCTGAATTGGGAGAGTTATGCAAACAGCCTACTCAGAAATTGCATCGGAACCATGGCCAGATCATGCTTCGAGTTTCAGACAAAAGAGCAATAGCATTTGAGTTGGCTAAAAATCTTTGCTTGATGAGCAATGAAAAGTAGAGCAGACAAAAAGGCCAAAGGTTTGAAATTTTGTTTCTGGAGATAAAGCATGAGAATTACTATTTCTGGGAAGATTAAAAGCATAGATTTCCTGAACCTTAACAAATCAAAAAAAGCACACACATTATGCAGTGAATATTCTAGACAGCATCAAATAAAGTCAGTGTGCATTTCATATTGATATATTAGACATATTATGACAGAGGATTGTTTGCAGTGAGTAAACTAGGAAGTGATGTAAAAATATCTGACCTGGAGAACTGAATCAGAAACTGAAACGTCACAAGTTGATCCTCCCGCAATTAGATTAGATAGAGATGTTAAAAGATCAGATAGCGGCGCTATTTTATCTCTCAGAAGATTATCAAAGTGCCTTACAAAGTCTATTGCTGCCTCCATTTGTGCGTATTAGTGAGGAAAAACATTTTTGGCAATACATTATTAATGTAGGGAGGTGTGTTATTGACAAAACAAAAATCTTGCAGAGTCAGTTTAGGGAAATTAGTTTAAATTAGGAAAGCAATTAAGTTCACAATGGACGATATTATTGAACTGAATTGTAAATAGCTGGAGTTGACATATTCTGATCGTACCAAAACTGGATAGATCACAAAGATTCTGTTTAATTGCAATCAGCGTGGCAAAAAAAAAGCTGACTTGTATTCCAAGTTCCATTGACAGAGCCGAAGAAATTTTGGCTTGTTGATACTAGATGGACTTTTATCAATACCATTTTGAATGAAAAACACGCCAACAACTTTCCATTGTTTTGCAAATAAAGCCACTGATGGGGTGAATAATTGTAGCGTCTACATCAGCGAACTGGTTGTGTTCAACTAAAACTGGGAAGAATTTTCACACCACTTGAAAAAAGTGCCAGTGCAGTTAAAAATATGAAATTGAATATGCCAAAACAAAAGTGAGAAGTATTCTTTGTGCCATACTGCTGGACAAGGGTAACTAGCACCTGGAGAAGTAAAATTGAGTTATCTTGGATGTTCCCATTCCTAGGACAAAATGTGAAATTCTGTGACATACTGGTGTGAATAGATTTTATCAAAAGTTTGTTCCAGTCTACGGATTTGTAGTGGTTCCTTTGACAAATTTATTAAAGGTAGGCAGAAATTCTTTGAATAAGCACATTAATGTCATAGTAACTTTGACAACTTGACAAACTTTGCTCTAAGCTGCATGCAAGGTTCCACACAGGAAGTAAGGTCAGAGAGTCCGTCTGGAAAAGCATTTAAATGCAGCAGTTTGTCCAGAGAGCAAGTGCGTCAACCCTTGATGTTGGTGAAAAGACATTGATATTGTTGAGTTCATGGCAGTAGAATAAGCACATTTTTAAAAACATTGTTTAGACGAGTCACAAACTTGAGTTGTGGGGGGTGGTTGACAAGGCCAAATTTGGGAAGATGTGGCAGGTGAAAGTTTAAAATGAAAACTGGAAAGTGTTAATAAAGAAAATGATAAACAGACTGTGAGAGGAAAGGGCACAGAGTTTGAAGCATAAGAATTAACTGACAGATAAGGCCAGAATTTACAAACTCAGGAAAAAAATAAAACTAAAGGGTCTGTATTGGAATGCAAGAAGCATTCAAAACAAAACAGATGAACTGAGAGTGCAAATAGAAATGAAAAAGTATGATCTGGTAGCCATTGCAGAGATATGGCTGCAGGATGATATGGTTCAGACCTGATTCTTGAAAGGCATAGGACATTTAGGAATTATAGGAAGAGGTGGAAGGTTGGCTCTGTTAGCTGATGATGGTATTGACACAACGGAAAGGGGTGACCTAAGTCTAAGAAACTAAGAAATGGAAACAGCCTCGGGAAAAATGATAAAGATAAGTCGTTTGAGGGAGTTTTGTGCAGGCCCCCTAACTCCACAGTAGCAGTGTTGGGTAGAATGGCCTGTTTCCACACTGCAAGGATTCTATGATTATACAGTCTGAGCGAAAGCTATCCAGAAAAATAGAAACAGAAACTTATAAATATTTTTCTAAAAAGTATTAACAAAGTGAGCTGTGATTTTATACAAAATGAAATTGGAGAATTAATATTGAAAATCAAGTAAATGTCAGAATAACTGAACTGGTATGTGCATCTTTCTTTACTATAGAGGATACAAGTAACATTCCAGGGTCAAAAATAAATCAGAAAATGGAAGAGAGCCAGGAACTTGGGGGAAAAATCACTATAGCCAGAGAAGTGGTAATGAGTAACTTGTTGGAGCTGTGGCCTGACAAATCCTGACTCCTGATGGTCTTTATCCTAGGGTCTTACCAAATGTGACCAATGAGATACTTGATGCGTTGGTTTTAATTTTCCAAAACTTCCTTGATTTGGGTGCAGTCCCATTAGACTGGAGGATAGCAAACGTACTTTCTTTATTCAAAAATGGAAGGAGTCTAAAGGCCAGTTAGTTAGCTTAACATTTATCATAAGGAAAATATTAGACACTATTATTAAACGGACTGTAACAGGACACTAATAAATTCAAGGTAATCAGACAGAATCAACATAGCTTTATGGAAGAGAAATCATACTTCATCAACCTATTGGAGTTCTTTGAAAAGGTATTGCATGTTGTGGATAAAGAGGAACTTGTGCATATGTTTGACTTGGATTTCCAGAAGGCATTTGATAAGGTGCCACATCATTGGTTATTGCAGAAAATAGAAGCTCAGGTTGTAAGGAGTAGTATATTGGCATTGCATAATAGATTAGTGGGCTAAGAGGAAGCAGGGAGTAAGTGCAAAGGGTCTCTTTCAGGTTAGCAAGAAGTAATGAGTGATGTGCCACAGGAATCGATGCTGGTACCTGAACTGTTTATAATTTATGTAAATGACTTGGATAAAGGGTAGTTAAGAAGGCGTTTAGCATGCTTGCCTTCATTGCTCAGACCTTTGAGTATAGGAGTTGAGATGTCATGTTCAGGTTGTCTAGGATGTTGGTGAGGCCTGTTCTGGAGTACTGTGTCCAATTCTGGTCACCCTGTTGTAGGAAGGATATTATTAAGCTGGAAAGGGTTCACAAAAGATCTACCAGGGTGTTTCCAGGAATGGAGGGTTTAAGTTATAAGAGGAGGCTGGATAGGTTGGGACTTTTTCACTGGAGCGTAGCAGGTTGAGGGGTGACCTGAAAGAAGTTGATAAAATCATGAGGGGCATAGATAATATGAATGACAGGTGTCTTCCTCCAAGGTTGGGTTATTTCAAGACTAGGGGGCATAATTTTAAGGTGAGAAGAGAAAGATTTAAAAAGATATCAGGGCAAATTTTTCACACAGTGAGTGGTTTGTGTGTGGAATGAACTGCCAAGGAAGTGGTGGATGCGGGTACGGTTACAACATTTAAGGCATTTTGGATAAGTACATGAATAACAAATGTTTGGAGGGATATGGGTCAAATGCAGGCAGGTGCGACTCATTTCGTTTGGGATTAAAGTCGGCATGGACTGGTTGGACTGAAGGGTCTGTTTCCGCGTTGTCTAACTGTGTGTAGTTGTCAAATTTGCTGACAAAACAAAGTCATAGAGTCACAGTTCTTTCAGCATAGAAAAGGGCCTTTGCCCCATTGTGTCTGTATTGATCATCAAACATGCATCTAATGTTTTAACAAAGATCTGCGGCTCAGGTTGTGGTCAGAGTTGTTGGTTGGTTCACTGAGCTGACGTTTTTCATGCAAACGTTTAGTCTCCTGTCTAGGTGACATCATCAGTGCTGTCTAGCCTCCGTTGAAATGCTGTTGTTCTGCTCTGTCCTGTCCTGAATTTATACGTGCGGTCTGTCAGGGTGGGCAGTCTTGTTTCTGGGTATTGTAGATGGGGTCTATTTCAACATGTTTGTTTATCGTATCAGTGGTTGAAAACCAGGCCTTCAGGAATTCTCGTGCTTGTCTTTGTTTTGCTTGTCCTAGTACTGTAACTTTGTTCTAGTTAAACTGATGTCCTTCTATGTTGGCGTGCATGGAAATTGAAATGAGGGAAAGCTGGTCGTGCCGTTTTGCTGCGAGTTGGTGTTCACGTATTCTGGTGGGGAGTTTCCTGCCCGTCAGTCCTATGTAGTCTTTCTGTATATGGTGGTAAGGAATTCATCACTGTTCGTTTGTTCCAGCATTACATCTAGAATCAGGAGTTGATTGTTGTTCTGTCTTCTGTTGGTGAACTTGATCCCAATGAATATGCTGTTAATAAGGTGGTGTGGTTCTTCTAACTTGTTTCCTGATCGTGAAAGTATTGCCCACATATCTAACCCATAGTTTAGGCTGGATCTTTGGTTGGGGTTGGGGGGGGTGCAGAGTTGCTGTGCGTTCCAGTCTTTGTGTAATGGCGTCTGCTATGAGCCCTGAGATGAGTGAACCCATGGGTGTTCCATTAATTTTTTTAATATACCTGGCCATTGAAGACGAAGTGCGTGGTAAGGCATAGGTCTAGTAATTTTAGCATGTTGTCCTTGGTGATGGTTTCATTGGAGGTTCGTGTTTTCGGATTGTTCGGTAATATGGCCAGTGTCTCCTTTGCTAGTGTTATGTCGACAGAGGTGAACAGTACTGTATTGTTGAAGGAGACCATCATTTCCTCCTTATCGATTTTTATGTTTCTGATGTTGTCCAGGAATTCCTGTGCTGAGTGTATGGAGTGGGTCGATCTGTTGGTGTGGTGTTTTAATCTTTGTTGTAACTCTTTGGCTAACCTGTGTATTGGTGTGCCTGGCAGGATATTGATCTCAGGGGGAAGTCAGGTTTGTGTACTTTGGATAGTCTATAGAATCGGGGGGAGTTTGACCCATCACTTTTCACTTTTAGGAAATCTGTTCTTGTTACTTGGCCTGCCTGATGTAATTTGTGTATAGGTGATCCTGTTCTCTAACTGTGGTTTGGGGCCCGACTCCCTCTTGATAAGTGCTGGTATCTGCAAATAGTTTTTATGCTTTTTCAATGTAGTCATCAAGCGGCCTTTGTCTGCCAGTAAGATTATGATGTTACTGTCCTCCTTTAATCCTTCAAGGGTTTTTCTTCGTGATGTGCTGTGTGTTTGCCTGGCTTCTCCTGTTCAGTGTAGGGTCTGTGGTTTGTCGGATGGTTTGTTGTGTTTCACCCGTGAGTCCATTAGATTTCGATGCAGCCTCAAGCGCAGCCAGGAAGTCTGTTTTGTTGGTGTCCTTTTAATTATAGTTAAATCCCCATATTCCTTACCAGCGTGTACAGAAAGACTACACACACAGACCAAATCCTGAATTACAACAGTAACCACCACAGGGTCAACAAACAGAGCTGTGTCAAGACTCTGTCTAAACCAACAATAACACTGCACCACCCGGGAGCTGTGCAAAAACGAAGAACACCTATACAAAGACTTTACGAACAATGGGGTATCCCAACAGCTTCATCTGCCGATGCCTGGCAAATAAACAACACTAAGAAGACACTATGCTGCAACACACTGGCCACCCTACCCTCTATTAGATACACATCAGGACGGACTACAAGACTTCCACGACCTCTTGGAATAAAGATAGCACACAAACCAACAGCCACATTTTGCCAGCTACTCTCAAAGACGAAAGACCCCATACCTACGATGAGCCTCTCTACTAATTAAACCCTTCACTTTTTTATTATAAATGATGTCTCCCTGGTCGAAACTGTTTTCTAGTGGCCTTACAATATGTCTTGAGGCTCATCAATTTTTTTTTTCTAAGACTTTGGCTTTAATAGAAAGCATTTCTGCATGCAGCACGTTCAAATGCTCCAAGAAAAAGTACAGCTGATTTAGTCCCATCCCAAACTGGAGACTGATAACTCATTATTGACAGAACTTTAGGATTTCTAGCAAAAACTGATATGGACTATATCCTCCAAATGGTTGCAGCTATGTTTTGGCGTGGACAGCCCTCACTACTGCAGCTGATAATTTACAGTTTGGCCAAACTGCCAAAACTTTATGAATCATTTTGTCTGTTGCCACATAATTTCTTTCGTACTCCATGTTGCTAAATGGACATTCATAGTGATTATGTCCATTTTGGCGTACACACATCTATATTCATTATTAACAAATTTAACCTGAATGCCAGTGAGACAGTTTGCTGGCAGTTTAACGCCAGTTACTGCCCACTTTCCTATTACTTTATCCACAATTATTTTCTTTACTGTGGATTCGTTTTGATTGGCCAACTCTGGTTGCCAAATCTACAAATTGTAAGTTGAAAATGCTTTTCTTCGTCTCACACCTGTAAATCTATAGCCACTGCTTCATTGAAATCGCTTGCTAACAATGGACTTGCTATAGGCTGTGATGGTGTCCATCGCTATTTCATGCAAATCTCACATCTACCGCTTCTTGTAAGTTCAGTAAACTTGATATATTCTTCATGCTTTATTCCTGCATGTTTTACTGACCTTCTTGAGGTCAGATGGGAAAAAATACCCATATAATTTAACATCATTGATTTTGTCTCTTTTAAATTTCTGCACCTTGTTACCAGTAATGCTTTGTTATTTTCTTTTCTGTTGAGGTTAGGCTTTCTACTAAAAGAATACAGTAGTGTGATGATTTGTGTAAATTACAGTTTTAGATTTTCCAAATACAGTGTCACCTGCACTTTTTTCATCAATGACCTATTTAATAACAATGGTATTTCACTGTATACTGCAGCTGTGTTAATGAAACAATCAATTCCGACTATTTTATAAGCAATGACTGATCTTTTTGAAAGATTTTACTGTGATAATATCCCTCAAACCTGAAACTGGTGGAACTGTCAAATTCCTGAACTTTGTTCCAGTCCATTGCAGTCCATAGTGGACATATTTCTACTGTCGAATACTGCACAATTGAAAGGGAGGTTATTATGGTTGTTAGAGATCGGATTTCTGAGCTTCAGGACATTTCTCCATGAATTCCTCAGGATAGTATCCAGTGTTGCAGGTGGGTTTTTTTTTCTGACCAGAGATGAAGACTCGGGAGACAGGCAAGATTCAGGCAAGTGGAAGATGTTTATTCAAGCAGAAACCGGTTCATATAGGGAGAGGGCCAAAGGATCTTTCCCGAATCTGGCTTCGGAAGATGGATCGATGACACGCTCTCTGCTTTACAAAGAAATACAGCAGTTTTATACATTTCATGTTACAGTAATCAAGTGCAACATATTCACTGTCCTTCCCCCTAATCCAAACACTCAATTCTGTGGGACACCTAATCAATGATGGGCACTCCTTTGAATAGCCCCAGGTTCCCGTGATCTTATGGTATTAGCTAGACATTGTAATCTCTAGGCCTTGGGATCTTTATGTATCCTGTTTTGCATTCCAAAAGTTTAATGGCCATATTCCTTCGTGCCTTTCTCAGGCTTGTTTATCTTTAAGGATAGCTCAAATTCTGTTACCTATTGTATTTTAGTGTTGTCTTTTATCATATTCAGTTAGTCCTTTTATTTTCCCACTGACCCAATTACATAATGTAAAAATAAAAAGTTGATTAGTTTTAACTAATTGCTATTAAGTTAACTTCTGTTATGAAGCTAATTATAAGTGTAACATCACAACTACTTCTACTGTCAGCATTTTGTAACTTATGGGTTGTGAGCAATCAGTTTTGTTTAGGGCATAAGAGAAGGCATCTCTGAAGGCTAGTTAACTGTTACATCTAAGCTTAAATGTTTTTTAAGGCTTGTATTATACTCTAGTTGTGTATTGAAATCATCTTCTATGATTAGAGCATTTTTAGCTAGAAACTATTTGTTATTGTTGGCAGCTTCAAAGAGGCAACTATTTACTACGAAATAACTTTAGCTGTTATCCTTGCAGTTGCTTGAGGACTTAATCTAGCACCTCATGTTATTCATTTCCTGGGACAACCATCCTTTCATTAATAAGGCTAGAGTTGATTATTTTTCTGTCCTAAGGCATCCTTTTATCAGAACTATTTCAGTTGGGAACATACAGCATTCTTTTAATGACCTCCTAGCAGTTCTGTTCAAAGGTACCATTGTATTTAACTGTGTGAGCAGGCTGCTTAGTTTTGCTTAGCTTCTGTCTGCCACCTTGTAAGCAGGCATGGGCTGCTTAGTGTGGTCAGGCACAAGTCACCTTACATAGCCAGGTACAGGTTACTCCTACAAATGTCCAGCCATCTTCAGTTGCATTATCAATGACCTTCCTTCCATCATAATGGCAGAAGTAGGGATGTTCGCTGATGACTGCAGAATATTTAACAACTCTTTAAATGCTGAAGCAGTTCATGACCAAGTGCAGAAAAGCTTGGACGACAAGCTTATAACAGCATTGTGGGTGTACCTGCACCAAATTGACTGCAGCAGTTCAAGAAGACAGCTCACCATTGTCTTCTCAAGGCCAACTAGAGATGGGAAATAAATGTTGGCCCTGCCAGTGAAACACAAATCCCCTGAACGAATTTAAAATATATGTAATCAAAGAACAAATAGGTGCGTTCATTTAATGTTCACTTGTTCTGATTAGCAAACAGCTTTGAAAGTGGCCAGCAAATATTTTGTAAAGCTGTAGAACACTAAATTTCTAAAGGTCTTGACATATTTATCAATAAAATAATTAACTTGTCCTTTTGGCAATATCTAAAGAATATTTCAGGTGTGAGAAATATGGCTGAAGGTGAATTTGCATTTCTATTTACGGTGAAAAATATATTTCAAATAATTGTAATAATCTATGTCTTTTGATATTCTATAGTTGTATTCGCTCTGTGAAGTCTTCAAGCTTGTCAATTGCTACTTCATGTATTTTGCAAATTGGATTTTTAAGTCAGTATATTTATTAATACTCTTTTCCTCTTTCTAGGATTGGAACCAGCACAACAATAGTACGACACACCGACGACTTTGTGACCTCCTTGTGGAAATGTATGGAGATTTTTACTTGCCAATCATGTTGTATAGTCTATTTTTACTGACTTAAATGCTATAATCATCACATTGTTGGTAATTATAGCAATTCCATCTACTTTCTTCAAGAAATCTGGAATGAGTGTTTTGTCAGGGAAGAAAAGTTAGTTGTAAACATTTTACCTGATGATTTTAAGGCCTTACACTGTGCTTTGATTCCTCTTCCTGCACCTGATTGCTCTTGCATGTGATATAAACTTAATTGTTTTGAAATATCATGTGTTCATTGATAAAATTGTCAATTTTTAGTAAATTAAATAATTGGGATTTGTGATGATTTGTAATGTCTACTTTTCCAGATATCCAGAATGGAATCCGGATGCCTTCCCACCACAAATGTAAGTGTTCACTCCATGACTTCACAACCGTTGTTCAAAAATTTGAGTTAGTCCAGTTCTATATTATGAGCCTTCTGTCAGTCTGGTAAGTTTCGGATGAGATAGCTTAATGTGCTACAGTTGGCCTCATCGATAACTATTTCCGTATGTTGATGAGAGAATTTCACACACAGTGTCAAAGGCTCACTGTCATCGAAGTGTGCTGTCATTATAAAGTGTGATGGTTGGGTGACACTTAATGTACGATTGGCAGTGTATGTTTTAATAACCATTAGAAACAGGCTGCTGGATATTCCTTGGTTCAAATGGGTTGCAAAAATACCAGTGCTGCATTATCCGCATATCCCAAGCCCAGGATCATTAGCCTGTTTTTACATATTGATCCCTTGCACATTTCCTAATTGTCACTAGATAAATCACGCTGGATAAACTCCCTAGGAATCTACAACGTTGCTTTTTCATCCCGTATTTGTAAGTAGTCGGACCATTGCTAAGGAAAATCCCCATCGTATTTATGACAGGATAGTGCAACATTTTATTCAGATAACCCCAAAAATGTTTGGAGAAAGTTTTTTTTTTTATTGAATAACATTCATAGAATAAAATTAATTGGAATTCACTTGTTTAAAACTATGGACCTAACATGAATGAGCATATGTTTTTGTTTTATATTGGGACACTAAACTTAACAGGACAGATCTCGAAAGTGAAAGTGTAATTTCCCTGCTACACAGCATTAATGTTACAGTTTATAATATAATGCGTTTTATGTGTAACCAATGTGTATGGTCTTTTGTTAAAGTTGGGATTAAGCATACTTCTGTCAATCAAAACCCTGGAAGCCCTTTTTAAAACTGTTTATTCTCTTTACAGAATTTTTTTTATGAATAGAGATTCCTTTTAAAATCCAAACAAGACCAATTATTTCCAGTATTCATTTTGTTGCAAAATTTTTGACCTCAGCATCAACTTTTGAGTAAATCATTTTCATGTTTAATATCTTGCTGCCTGATATCAGTCAGCTTCTCATGTTCATTTCTCTAGACAAGTTAAATGACTTTAATGAAAGCTGAATTATGTTATATCGTCTTGACCCGTGCTTTTTGAATGAGCCACTATCCTTTGCTCCGCTTCATAAGAAAGCTCAGATAATTTGCATAAAAGCAGGATCTATACAGTTTTCTCCTTTTCATTTAACTTTTTTTGCAATAGAATTAATGTTAGGACTACACTGATTTCATACTACTACATTTCTGATATTGCATATGTGAACTTTGCTTAAAGATATTTTATTGCTTCCAGGGGCGATCCTCTGGTTTTACAGTCAACAAACCTGGCTCCAGGGATTCTGGGTCCCCCACCATCTGGATCCTTTCTTGCATCGAACAGAGGCATGGGAGGGATGGAATCCCATGGGGGTAATGAACATTAACTGCCTTATTACATTTTAAGCGTGCAGGGCAAAATGTAATTTTTAGCGTCATGCTCAGTGCTGGAACCTTTTGCTCTATTAGTAATTTATTCTAAATACTCTATTTCTTATATTTTATCTCAGCCTTGAAACTTTATTTGAACGATAAAACCTATGATAAAACAACACAAGGCACCAGATTTGCGCTTTTACCTGTGAATGTAGCACATTTGAGACGGCAGTTTAGTCTTTGGGGCCATCATTGATTTTTGCTTCACGTGCCTTTTCTTTCAACTTAATACCTTCCTTAACTTCCTTGGTTACATATGGTTGATTTATCCCTCTCTTATAATCTTCCCTCCTCACTGGGATATATTTTTGCTGAGAGCAGTGACTTGCCTCCTTAAATATCTGCCACTGCTTGCTTACTATCTTCTGCTAATCTACCTGGTCAATCTACTTTAGCTAACTTTATCCTCATTTCATTGTAATTCTCTTTATTTAAGTTACACACAATTGTTCCCAATCCAAGTTTCTCAATTACAAACTGAATATTAAATTCAATCGTCTTATTATCATTATTTCGTAGGGGATCTTTTACTGTGAGGTCATATATTAAAACTGCCACAATACCCATAGCCAGATCTAATCAGTCTGATACCTGATTGGCTCCATGACACTTTGCTCTAGAAAACTCTATTAATTTATTGACATGGCTACCCTTTCCAACTTGATTAACCCAATCACCATGAAGATTAATGTCATCCATAATTAGTGCTGTATTCTCTTTACATGCTGTATTACTTGTTGACTTGTATCGTTTCCTAGTGTGGCTATTGTGTGGGGGTCTAAATGTCACTTCTACCAAAGTCTTCTTTCCCTTGCTGTTTTTGCCTCCACCCAAATAGACACTACATCATCCAAGCTTAGATCAGCTCTCTCAACTGTCCTCATTTCATCTTTTAACAGTGCCATCCCTCCTGTCCCTTTCTGAAAGATCCCGTTTCCATGAGTGGAATTTACATGGATTTGCACCATCAGCTTGTCTATCTTATTGCAAATGCTTTGTGCATTGAGATACAAAACGTTTAGACTTGCTTTCTTGCCATTTTAACCATCCTGATTTTTCTTTGTACTGTAGCAGATGCTCAAGGGGATATTCAGTTCTTCCCAATTTAAAATATATTCTGGAGAGATAGAAAGTTTGTAAAAGGGGTTTTAAAAAATCCATGGCTAAGCAAAGAAGTTAAAGATCACATAAAGATGAAAAAAAAGGCACACCATATTGCAAAGGCCCGTGGCAGGCTGGAAGATCATCAACGGGCTACTAAAAAAAATTAATAAAAAGAGCAAAGGTAAATGATATAAAACTAACACAAAATATAAAAGTGGTTGGTGAAATCTCTAAGTATATGAAAGAGAAGAGAGCAGCTAAAGTGAACATTGGTTCCTTGGATGAGACTGGGGATCTAATAATGAGAAACACAAATGACAGACACTAAACCAGTATTTTGTCCTAGTTTTCACAGTGGAGGTATGAGTTCCATTCCAATAGTAATAGATAAAGCATAGAATCTAGAAAGGGAGAAATTTGGAACAATCCTCATCACTAGTGGGAAAAGTACTGAGTATTTCGGATTAAAGGCAGACAAGTCCCCAGGCCTGATGGCCTATATCCTTGGGTCTTAAAGGAAGTGTTATTAAAGATCCATTGGTCATAGTATTCAAAAATTCCCTGGATGTCAGACAGGCACCCGTGGATTGGAAAAATGCAAATATAATACCCTCATTCAAAAAGAAAGGAATGCAGAAAGTAGGAAACTGTAGACTAATTAGATTAGTGTGTTGTTGGGAAATTGTTAGAAACCATTATTAAGCAAGAAATAACAGGGCATTTGGAAAGTTAAAATGCAATCTGTCAGAGACAGAATGGTTCTTTTGAAGGGTAAATGATGTTTTGTTAATTTGCTAGCGTTCTGTGAAGATATAACAAGCAAAGTAGATAATACGTATCCTGTAGATGTATTGCATCTGGATTTCCAGATGGCATCTGATGGGGTGCTGCACACAAGGTTAGTACACCCACTAAAATCACGTAGGGTTAGGGGTAATTTATTAGCCTGGGTATGGGTTTGCTAAGCAACATCCAACGATCTCCAGCATTTCAGATACCAGTGTTCAGCCAATTTGATTCACTCCATGTGATATCAAGAAATGTTTGGAGATATTGAATACTGCATAGGCTATGGGCCCTGACAACATTCCAGCGATAGTACTGAAGACTTGTGCTCCAGAGCCTGCTGCTCCCTTAGCCATGCTTTTCCAGTATTGTCGCAACAGTGGCATTTACCTGATAATGTGGAAAATTTTGCCCAAGTATTTTCTGTACCTAAAAAGCAGGACAAATCCAACCTGGCCAGTTGCCACCCAATCAGTCTACTCTTGATCATCAGTACAGAGATAGAAGGTATCATCAATAATACTGGCACGTAACACCTGCTCAGTGATGCCCAGTTCGGGTTCCACCAGGGCCACTCAGCTCCTGACCTCATTACAGCCTGGGTTTAAACATGGAATGAAGAGCTGAATTCCAGAGGTGAGGTGAGAGTGACAGCCCTTGACATCAAGGCTATGTTCGACAAAAGTGTAGCATCAAGGATCCCTAGCAAAACTGGAATTGATGAGTTATTGGGGCAAACTCTCCACTGGTTGGAGTCATACCTGGTCTGAGGAATATGGATGTGGTTGTTGGAGGTCAGTCATCTCAGCACCAGAATATCTCTGCAGGAGTTCCTCAGGGTAGTGTCCTAGGCCCAGCTATCTTCAGCTGCTTCAACAATGACCTTTCCTCCTTCATAAGGTCAGAAGTGGAGATGCCCACTGATGACGCACTATGATAAGCCCTGTTCGCGACTCCTCAGATACTGAAGCGGTTCATGTTCAAATGCAACAAGATCCAACTTGGGCTGACAAGTGGGGACAAGTAACATTCACTCCACACAAATGTCCGGTTTTGATCATCACCAATAAGAGACAATCCATCTACCTCTCCCTGATACTCAATGGTGTTACTATCGGTGCAGCCCCCACTATCAACATCCTTGCGGTTGCTGTTAACCATTCAGACTCAACTGAATATGCCATATAAACACAGTGGGTACAAGAGTAGGCCAGAGGCTAGAAGTACTGCAGTGAGTAACTCCCCTCCTGACTATAAGATAATCATTAAACATCAACCTGCGTTGCAGCTTTTCTATCATCCAATAACCTGGGCAACTGATAAAATTACCTCAATAGATGAAATAGAGTCATAAAAGTAGTAACATTGGTTTTAACTTCGCAAATCTCCCTTGATTTGGGAAAGGTCCTATTAGATTAGAAGGTAGTAAATATTATTCCTCTAGTCAAAAATGGAGGGAGACAGAAAACAGAGCTACAGACCAGTTTGCTTAATATCTGCTGAAGGAAAACTTTAGAAGCTAATATTAAATGAGTTATAGCCGGACACTTATAACTTTGAGTTCTGAGGAAGGATCACTGGACCTGAAACATTAACTGATTTTTTTCTTCACGGATGCTGCCAGACCTGCTAAGCTTTTCCAGCAGCTTCTGTTTTTGTTCCTGATTTATAGCATCTGCAGTTCTTTTGGTTTTTACTTATGAGTTCAAGATAGTCAAGCAGAGTCGACATGCTTTTGTAAAGACCTTTTTTTGTGTTTTTCTTGATTGTGGTAATTACACTTTTTTTTGTACCTATATGTTTATGTAGAGGGAGAGTTTTGTAAATGGGTTAGAGTTTTAACTGGTTGAGTTACATTACAGTGGTTTATAAATGTTTAGTTGTGTTTAGAAGTTATTTATTTGTAATAAATGGCAATTCTTGTTAGATATAGAAACCTAGTCTCTACTTTCTGTGACCCTGGGTCTAACAGACTCAAATTCTATGTACTTGTCAAAATTTTTTGACTTTTGTGATGACTCTGAAAACAGCAGGGCTTGATTTCCAGTGAGCTACTCCAGTGAGACTTAACAGCTCTGTGATAAGGAAACTATGTTTAACCAGTCTTTTAGTGTTTCTGATTACTAGGGGCATGAGTGGGTCATTCAACCCTTCAAACCTGCTCTGCCATTCACTTATCATACCTGATCCTTGTCTCATTTCTGTGTACCATCCCTTGATGTCTTTAAAATCTTTTTTAAATAAAAATCTCTCATGAATATATTCAGTGACTTGGCCTCCGCAGCCTTCTGTGGTAGAGAATTCAACATGTTCATGACCCTTTGGCTGAAGAAATCTTTCCCCATCTCAGTTCTAAGTGATGAACTTTTGGTTCTGGACTCCTGACCAAGGAAAACATCGTCTCTAAGTCCAGTCTGTCCACCTTTATTAGAATTTTATATATTTCAGTAAACACCCCTCTCATCCTTCTAAACTCGGAAAACCAATCTCATCATAGAAAGACAGCATGGTGGCTCAGTGGTTAGCACTGCTGCCTCACAGCTCCAGGGACCCGGTTCAGTTCCACCCTCGGGCGACTGTCTGTGGAGTTTGCACTTTCTCCCCATATCTGTGTGGGTTTCCTCCGGGTATTCTGGTTTCCTCCCACAGTCCAAAGATGTGCAGGCTAGATGGTTTGGCCATGCTAAATTGCCCGTAGTGTTCAGGGATGTGTAGCATAGGTGGGTTATAAGGGGATGGGTCTGGGTGGGATGCTCCAAGGGTCAGTGTGGACTTGTTGGTAGGGAGTCTGTGCTCAAAAGAACTGCACATGCTGGAAGTGGGAAACAAAAGCCAAAATTACTGGGCAAGCCCAGCAGGTCTGGCAGCATCTGTGGAGAGAAATCAGTGTTAACGTTTAGATCCAGTGCCCCTTCCTCAGAATATAGATGTCGATAGATTATTATTAAGGGGATAGAAGATCATACGTGTAATTGGGAATGTGGATTTGAGGTTACAATCAGACCAGTCATGATATTGGTGAGTGGCAGAACAGGCTTGAGGGGCTGAATGGTCTACTCCTGCTGTTTGGTATTTGTATGTTTGAAATAGAGGGAAAATATTATGATTTGTTGAGATTCCTTATAAAATTGTCTCCTGATCATGTGAGGTCAATTTGAGAAGGATGGATGTTATAGACAGCACAGTTGTTAGTTATATCCAATAAGAAAAGTTTACATCACTGAGTGTGAATCAAGCAGGAGGCAATTTACGTTCCAGTTGATGGCATCATGTCAGGTTCATAATGCAAGTAAATATAAAAGAAGGTGAGGAAAATTGAGAGGATGCAATTGCAAGATTTTTTTACAGTGACATTGCTTAATTATTTCTGTTTTTTAGGATCAGGTCGCAAAGGCCCTACGGATAACAAACAAGGAAACAACACTCAGAGGCTGCAGAAGCCATCCAGAATGGTTGGTATTTCATACTCTTACAAGATTTTTGTATCGAAGATTCTCATTTTGAATAAAGTCTAGTTTTGAAGGCTTGATAAATCATAATGAGAAATGAATAAAAGAGTAGTATTTTACTATCTTTAGTTGATCTAAATCATGGGTGCAGTAGTAGCGGCCATTGTAAGTTATACTGGAATTTTGATTCAATATCTTGTACATGGTAAGCTTCTGACCTTGAAATATGTTTGTGTTCAAAACACTAAATGTATGCCTAGAAAAAAGGTCAGTTGTGAATCATTGAGTTATTCTTCTGTAACTACTTGTGCGTAAGTGTAGAACAGGATTGACAGATGTGACATGGCTCTCTCATGCTCTGTCTCCACAACATTGTACCTGGAGTAGCAGTTAGTGTACCCTGAGAAAGTAAGTTGTGTATAGATCAAAGAATACTTGAGGAGGTGGGGATGTAGTGGTCATACTGCTGGACTAATAATCCGGAACCCAAGGCTAAGAAAAGTTGGGATTGATTCACGCCATGGCAAGTAGTGAAATTAAATTAAAATTTAAAGAAAACTGGAACAAAATAGAGCTAGTCCAATGGCAATGTTTGACCACTTTCAATTGTCAAAACTCACCCTGATTCACGGATGTTATTTCAGGATGGAAATTTGCCACCTTTACTATCTTGTCTATGTCCACAACAGTGTAGTTGACTCCTCTGAGAAATCAATCTAAGCTACATGCGGGCCAAGCCAATAACGCCCATATCTCATGAACTTCTTTGTTTAGCATCAGCGTTCTACAGGATCACTGTTCCACACTGGTGAAAACGTTGGATATTATAGCTGGACTTGGGCAAATTCTTTTATACAAGTTCATCTCATGTAGCTAGGTAACTACTCTCGGTAGTAGTATGTCTGATACTCCATGTTGGTGCATTTACAGGTGGAATTTTCTCTGCTTATTTTTTATGCCCATTGACGTCAAGGTTGTGTTTGGTTGATGATTCTGTTATTTTAAATATCATTAACCTGCTGGTCTCCTGGCATGTACATGAAATTATAATGTCAGAGGTTTTGAACAAGGAAAGACAGTCGATGAGGAATTTATTTTTCAAGAGGGAAAAATTTTTTAAATTTTGCTTTATGAAAGGTTTGAATAAGATGACTTTTACAGCTAAATCCTTTTCTTCTGACTTAGAATGCGAATGATGAGCCTGGACGAGTAGTTCACATTAGTGAGTTGCAGCGAGGTAGATGTACGAATCGCGATCTAATCAAGCTGGCTGAACCTTTTGGGAAGGTTACAAACTACTTGTTGATAAAGTCAAAGGGTGAGGTAAGCACAAAACATGGCTAGACTGTCATTCCCCAGCATTGTGTTGAAGCATATGGGAATTTAATAATCAAAAAAGACAGCTTCTCTTTAATAAGAAAATTTGTGAGTTATAATACAAAATTATGAAATTTTAGTGATGATAAAAGGCTATTCAGCTCATCAAAACTTAGACTTTAGATTCTCTAGTTCACCTGACCTATCACTTCAACTTTCTTTAACTATATACTTTCTCTAATTTTCATCCTGATAATCCACTGGGCAGGCTAAACTTTTTTTTTTGCCTTACCTAAGACATTTAATACTTAGCAAACCTTGGAGAGTTCTTCTATTCTTTTTAGAAATTGATAATCTAGTCTCTCCCCATAGTGCAGCCCCAGTAATTTTGGAATTATTCTTTTTCTCTATATTTCATCTAGATAAATATATAAGGCATTTGAAGAATGGCAGCCTAAATTATGCAGTGCTTAAAAGCACCTTGAATCACAACACAACCTGTATAAACTTTTCTATACTTTAATGTTTTTTAATGTTGTTTCAGCATTGGAATTAATGGTTTAAGAATTAACTGTCAGCTGATTCTCATTCAAGTGTATATCATATGGTTCATTAATAATGTCCCTACGCTGAGGTAGGAGGCCAGGGTTCAGATCCCACCTGCTCCGGAAGTATGTCACAACATCCTTGAGCAGGTTGAAAATTAAAACAGTATGTTGCAGTGGCTGTGTCCCCACCTCTGGACCAGGTGGCCTGGGTTCAAATTCTACTTGCTCCAGAGCTGTGTAATATCATCTCTGAACAGGTTGCTTAGCAGTGTCAAGGGTTGGTTCGTTACAGTTTGGACCTGGTTGGAAAGGGGAGTGAATAGACTGGAGTTTGAACTGAACTATCAAATGCAAACAACGTGTGGAAGATGGATTGACTTCTGCATTTGGTAAATGGATGACAAGTAGCATAACATCCCATATAAATTTAGTCTCCTGTACTAATACCATTCAGTGGGTCAGGGGTTCTTGTGGTACAGTGGTAGTGTTGCTGACTTTGGGCCGGAAGGTCTGGGATCAAGTTCCATTTGCCATGGAGGGGTATCATAACATGTCTAAACAGAATGTTTAAAATAATTTTTGAGTTTTTCTTTCATTGCCCCAATGTAGAACCATTTGCTTGCCTTGAATATTTATTCAAATATTTTAATAATGTTTGGCTTTGAATGTTTATATTTGGAGCTGGTCATACAAAAATTAATGGGTGATTGTGGGAATCTGCTTGTATTCAGTATTTGTATTTTTAATTATAGGGATTTGTGGAATTGGCATATCCTGAAGCAACTCAAGCCATGGTGAAGTTTTACCAGATGAAACCTACGTTTATTGATGGCAATGCTGTCAGAGTGGAACTCTCCCAGAAATATAAAAAGCTGACTATAATGGTATTTTATTTATAACAGGATGTATGGGAGTTAATAGTTTTATTTATGTTTATGCAGGTGTACTTTCATGTAAGTACAGTTTTATTTGATTCCTAACCATAGATAATAAACATGCACAAGAATTGCACAAGCATGTGAGTTAATAGCATCTCATCCCAGTCAATCAAAATAATCAGTTTGAACTTTAGTACAGTAAATCAAATATAAATAAGTATGATTTGTATTCTCCAGTAACCGTTTGGGCCTAAATCTGCTATTTTAGATGCTCCATAAGGTTATTTTCAGGTTCTGTGTGAAACCTAATTAGTGATAGTTCAACTTTCATGATCTCATGTAAGGCCTCACTATGTTTCAGAATTGTGTAATTGCAATATCAACACAGTTTCAAATCCTGGAAACTGTCTTACTGTAATGCACCTTTGGAATCTCACTATCCAGGGCTTTCTTCCAACTTTATCTTGACTGATGACAGTGCTGTAATCATTTGCTGCCAGCTCCAGGACCACTACTTCAATGGAGGTATAAATGGTCAAGTTTCCTGATCCATCTCTGGGCTTTGACCACTGTCTTGGACATTGTACATCCTCCTCTTCTGTACATTAGGAGAAATTGCAACAATAATGCTGTGTTGTAATCATGCCTTCATGTTTGTGGGCAATATGACCATTATTGGCAACAGTTAATCCTCAGTTGGCTCCTCGTTATCCAATGTGTTGGAGTTGAATATCCCCCACCTAAACTTCCGTAACTCCTGTTGTCATGCAGAGTGACATGTCTACTTGACGCCGCCGTATACCTGGGGAACAGACAAGACAATGCTGTAGTAGACCGACATCACATTTTATATCCATCTACAGAATGGGTTAGCCATTTTGGCAGTGTGATGATGTTCTTTGGATGACCCCAAGGCTGCTGACCACTGCTGTAACCACATCCATTCTGCATTTTTCTTCGGCTAAGAGGTTTCCTTTTCCTATTGAGGACTGAGAGTACCACCCAAATATCACTTATAGCTTGAAGAAGGAGTTGTCATCAAACCTTGGGGCCATCCTTGGTCTGAAACCCTTCCCAGTACTTGACTCTGTTTTCTTTGTTGTTCATAGAGAGAGAGAGATCTAAAGGTCTGATTTTTGACTGTTTCCCTAAACGTTTGATATTCATTAGGGGAATAGGTGCGCTGCTTTTAAATTTTCTTTCCTTCCTAATAAAGGTTTCAAAACTAGCAGAGCAGTTAGAACCAAACACTGTCCCCTTGAAATAATTCACTGAAATTTAAATGCCACCTTAGACCTCAAAATGATAGTTTTTGGTGCAGCTACCACACCACCGTGTCAAAGGTCCCTTTATAGTTCCTAAATGTGTGACTCACTTCACGTTCGTGGACTTCCCTCTCTTCTCAGAGACCCAACCTTGGTCTGTTGACTGGGCATGCTGCCCATCTTCCTGAATGAAATTGGCCATTTTCCCAAGGAGCAGCCATTAATTGGGCACTAAAACACATTGTTGACCATCTTTCAGAGTTGGGGATTGCTGATCCACACACTTCTTGGTCAGACTCCCATTTACAATCGGGGAACATTAAATTCAGTCTGTGCTGTCTGTCAGAAAACAACTAGCAAAATCTAGAGAGAGGTATACAGTTATGTTTTGCAATTGGTGAGAAGCAAGTATCTTAAAAGTGACAAAATGGTTGTACACTTTTTTTTAGTAATTTGGATTCGGCAATTACATTTTTGAGTCAAATTTGTTGTGGCTTAAAAATCAGAAGAAAATAGTCAGAAAAACTAATTGATCTCTGAATTGGCAAGTAGTCGGCATTTTAACAATTCCACCTGTACTACTTCAAAAGTGCTGATCTTGTGCTTGCATTCCATGAAATGAGGGATCTGTTTGGAAATGAATGCGATGACTCAGCCCTTTCAAAGCAGGTAGGTCCATTTGGTCTCTGGAAAGATAATTTTGAGGTGATGTTCCTTAGCCTGATTGTATTGTCATAATGACTCTTTTATCCCCTGAACGTATTATGAAAGTGAGCTGAACCAAGTTGGCATGCAATTAAATAATGAAATTATTGTAATGACCAAAGGCATTTCCAACATGTGGTCTGAGAACTGTAAGTTAGTAACGTTCATTTTACTAGGCCCTTTTAATTACTAATGACTAATAACCAGACCATCAGTTGAGATTTTGCTTAAACAAGTTAAAGGTTAGTTTATTGCATTATGACATTTCCTTATGAATAAAGACAGTTATTAAGAAGAACTTAGAAACATCAAGAATTAAATAAGTATAGCTAAGACTAAAGATAAGTCCCACTTCTGATTCTTTGGGTCCCGTTGCTTCAGTTCATTGGTGCTGAAGCGAAGAGATTGACACTTGAAGTCAGATCCAGTAGCTGTGATAGCTTCTGTAGTTGGATAGTTGATGATTTGCTATGAAGGTGGACAAGCAGGACAACAGATTTTGGGAGAGATGAAACTCCTGGCTTCCGGTCCTGGAGGTGAGGCACTTTTAACTGTTCGATCAATTTATAGCAGTCCATTACATGTTTCAAGATGTCTCTTTCTGTCCGTTCCTCACTCTGTCAACACTCTGCTCAGATGGTGTTTCTTGATGCCATTTCATTGGAGGTCTGAATCGTAAATTAGCGGTACGGTCAGTTTTATATAGTTTCAGCTAGTAAGATACTTATTACAGACTGGTAAGACATCTTTGTAGCTGAGAGTACTGATTTGCCCAGGTATTAGGGCAAGACTCATGTATTGTCTTTTAGCTGAATTGATCACTTTTTGAAATATTGTAGTTATCCAATTGAATGGCTCCCACTTTTATGTTTGTTGAAGTAGGAACAACTTTTGCAACTTAAAAAGTTCCCATTGTGCTGCACAAGGCTAGATACAATCTTTAACTATTTAACAATTTCCCTTTGCAATTTGAGATACAGCTGGCACAGTTCAATAGGCTTTGAAAGTCGACTTTAACAACCTGGTCAGGTGTGGCCTCCAGCTTGAAGAAATATTTTATTATTTCCAATTTTTAAGACAGAAATGTCTTTTTAATATGTTTCTTTGCAGGGGAAGAAACACTACACCATCGGTCAGCACGGTTGTAACAAGTGAGGACAGCGAGAATTATGAAGATGATGTCTTTGCTGAGTTTTGACTCCAGTGTGCTTAAAATTGCTTTCTCTTTTTTGTGATGATGTGCAATGCATCAGAATGCACCCAGTAATTTGTTTTGCACAAAACTGTTGACTGGTCTGAGGAAAAATTTGAAGCATTTGCTGTTGTATCGAATTATGAAGATCAAAGTCTATGCCACCTAATATTCAAAGAAAACCCTATTTGTGGTGAAATTTAAGTAAAAATTTCAAACTTCATGACTCTTCCCTTTATTCTTAAAATCAATTAGAAATGATTGTAACCTCGTCCTGTCTGACAGAATAAAATTTGGCTACATTTTGAAAATCATTTGAAGTATACTTATACAAGTCCTGCTTGCATATAAATACTCTAAATTCACAATTCAGTGTCACCTTCAATAGAGTTTTGTTTTTTAGCAAACACTTGTTTTGCAATATGAATTTATTTTAAAATCGATGAATGCATGAATGTTGTGAACCCACACCACAATAGCACTTCCTTGCTTTTTGTTGCTAAAGAGCAAAAATAAATTGAAGTGGAACTTGGGCTTGGGAATCAAATGCACCTCTCCCACCTTTTGGTACATTGTATTTATGTGGAGTTTCAAAGTGAAGAATAAGTTTTTTTTTATTTTGTATGTTCTTCAGACTGCTCTGCCGTTCAGTGACTCTCATTCCGTGCTTTTCTGATGCCTCCATGTTAATGCCCTTTTCCACTTGAGGCAGTGTAGAGCTTTTAAAAAATAAAACGGGGGGGTGATAACCTAATGGTATTATCGCTAGACTATTAATCCAGAGACTGAAGTGATCTTCTGGACATTGAATTGAATAAGAATCTTGAATCATGCAATGACCATGTTTTTTTTCCCTGACAATTGACAATCTGGTTCACTAGTGTCCTGTTAGAGAAGAAAACTGCAGTCCTTACCTGGTCTGGCCTACATGTGACTCCAAATCCACAGTAATGTGGTTGACTAAACTGCCCTTTGGACAATTAGCAATGCCCACATTCCAGGAATGAATTTTAAAAACTAATTATTTTATGTAATAGATCATTCTAGTCCTTGCTGAAAATTATAGTTACTAAAAATGAAGGGGTTTGGAGCCTGGTCTGCTATTTGACCATTCATAGTTTGAAAATGCTTACAACAGCATTGAAACATTAGAAATAGGAGCAAGAGTAGGCCATCACTGAGTAATGGGGTACTTATTCCTCACCTTATAAATTTGCAGTGAAAATATATTGTATGATTATTGCTGGAAAGTGATAAACTAATTTTGTTGTTCTTATCCTTGAATTTCTGGTTTGGCTCAAAATCTAATGATTCTCTCATTTGCAGTGCTGGATTGTTGGTGGGGAGAGGGGGAGTTGGTGAGATGATGTGTTTTTAGCATGCAGATATACAGGATGTTTCAATCAGTAAGTATCAACAGTTAAGTATTAAGGCTTGTGTTTAAATAATGAATTTTCCATTCTTTCACATTTAGGGCAAAGAAAGTGAAGAACGAAGCCGGGTCGTCCACATCAGCAACTTGCCTTCTGTTGGCTATTCTGATTCAGAAATCGTATGCCTTGGTATGCCCTTTGGAAAAGTGACCAACTACCTACTAATGAGAGTTAAAAATCAGGTACTGTAGGATTAAAGTGCGAGCAGTTATGTGAAGTATTTTGTTAATATTCGTTAAGTTGGTCAAATAGTCATTCACCTTGTATTCATAATTATTTTGACTATTTGTTTGGCATTTTGACCTTGAAAAATGAATAGATGTTTACAAGGAGGAGAAATTTCCATTGTTTGGTAGAATTCTGACTTTTAGATGTTGGACCTCTGCTTGTTTTTTTTTATTTCCACACTCTCCCTTCACTCACCCGCCTCCAATTTCCTGCACCGACCCCTAGCTTTTCCACAACTCACTCTCCCAGCCCAGTCTCTGAGAGTGCACCCTGCTGCTGGCAGTTTGGCAGAGCTGTGGAGTTCAGGGTCAGCAGGCACAAGTCTCAGAAGGCTTCAGGATGGAGAGGAACAGAGCAGCAGAGCCCAAGACTTGGTGAGGTTTGGCAATACAGAAGGAAGGAAAAGTGGAGGATGGACTAGATGTATGTGGTTTGGGAAGTGAGCTAGTCAGTAGGGGATCCATGGGGAAGAGGGTAGAATTTGGAGGAAGAAAACTGATTGTAGTATGTTCATAGAGGGGTTTCACTGAGTCTTTTGTTACCAGGGAATATGGATATCTTGGCTGAAACCTGCATGAGTACATAACCCTAACCACATCCTTACAAAGTACTGCAACAGGGTAGACTTCCAGATCTGAGATGCTGATCTTATAATACGCATACTTCGACATTTAGATAGTGAATGCTACTGTCCAACTTTTTGCTGTTTGCTGGTTTTTTTGAGATCACATGAATTTTCAAGAGTTCTTTTAATGTTCATTCATACAATTTGGGCATTGCTGGCAAAACCAGCATTTGGGACCCATCCATAATTGCCATTGAGAAAGATACTAGTGAGTTGAAGTGAAGTCCCAATGAAAAACAGTTTGCCAGTCACTACATTGTCCTTTGCTTTGCATCATATCTGTTATCCAACACAATCTTGTTATATTGTTCATATGGACTTTCAACTAAATTGAATACTAAAATGCTGAGGTCACTTTGCCGCTTTGATGTATATTTGTTGGTCCAGAGTTTTGACACTAATAGGCGAACAAAGGGTAAACTACTGATAATTCTGCCTATCTGACGTGGCCTAGAAACGATTACAAATTGTGGCAAGTGCTATAGTTACATGATTTCCTAACACACATTTTCAGACCCTTTTAATCTTCACCCACTTATCCTTGTATGGTTGGTTT